GAGGAGGAGGAGGAGCCCGCCTCCAGCGGCGCGGCGGCCCCTGGGCCACCGGGCGCCGGCGGAGCCTCCGACGCCGCCGGCAGGGCCCTCGCAGGGGCGTGGCCTCCCACGGGCGCCAGGGCGGCCTGCGAGGCGGCCTGCAGCGCCCCTCGCGTCGTGAGAGAGGCGCGGCGGAAGGTCTTCGGCCCCTGAAGAGAAAAAGTCGGGGCGCCCTTCCCCCATGGCGCTCCTCCTCCTCCTCCTCCTCCGCCGCCTCCTCCTCCTCTTCCTCCTCCTCTTCCTCCCCCGCCTCTGAAGAACAAAGCCTGGGCGGGCGGTTGGGAGCTCCTGTGTGACACCTCCAGGAGCCCTCGCCGGGCCCCGGACCGTCAAAAAAACAACTCGGGACGAAGCACATGGCCATGCATGGAAAGGGTCGGGACGTCCGGGGGCCCCGTATTGACAGGTGTTCGGCGATGCTGGCGGCGCGCACACGGGGGTCGAGACGAGGGAGGTGGCCTCCTTCAAGGCGGGGCAGCCTCGAAGAAGGCAGTGGCCTTCTCATAAGCCCTCCTGGCTTTGAAGAAGCCTTCTCAGAAGCCCTCCCGGCGTCTAAGATGCCTCCGTAGAAGCCTCCAGGCCCTTCTAAGAAGGCCCCTGCCGTCGAAGAGGCACACCGCCTTCTAAGAAGGTCACCCCCTCGAGTCACCGCATTGTGCGCGCCGCCAAGTCTCGGCCCTCCCTGGGAGCCCGCACCGAAGGCCCCAGAAGCGTCGAAAGCGAGACTCGGGATGAAACGCCTGTCCCTGCCTGGACATCCGGCGGGTCCACGATGTCCGATACGCGGGCCCCAAGCGGTCTGGACCACTTCGCTCGGGCCGGCGCTTTGTCCTGAGCCGCCTGCTGACGGCCCTATAGGGCAAGGCGAGAGCCCCCGGGAGCCGAAGATGGCCAAGAACCGGGCGCTCCAATGTTTCTGTCGGAGCCCAGGACCTCTGGGGGTCCACTAGGGGGCCACATGCGAACCCTACCCCTACCCCAAACGATTTCTGGGGGGGGGGGGGTCACTTCGTTCGGGAGCCACGTCAGAAACCCAGACATGCGACGTCCTGATTTTTTCAGGACGGCGTCCCTGGGAGCCCCGACGCCTTCCCCGGGACCGGTGTTTCGTCCTGCGTCGCTTTCTGACGGCCCCGAGGCCCGGCGAAGGCCCCCCGAGGCCGGAAGTAGCCGAAAACCTCCCGCCTTGATGTCTGTTGCGACACGATCACGTCTGGGTCCAGACCTCTGGGGGCCCACGTCAGAGAGAAAGCACGACGTCTGGGGTCTGAGCCTGCAGCGCCCCCGGCCGCAGCTGGGGCACCAGGCGCGCCACGAGCTCCGCGCTCCGCGCCAGCGCGCCGGCATCCCCTGCGTTGGGGGCAAGGCTTGGCCCTCGAAGCCGGTTCCTCGAGGCTCGACCCTCGAAATCCGACCCTCGATGCCCCACCCTCGACGCTGGACCCACGAAGCTCGGTCCTCCAGTTTCGGTCTTCGAAGCTCGGTGCTTGAAGCTCGAGCCTCGAAGCTCGACCCTCGAAATCCGACCCTCGATTCCCCGCCCTCGACGCTGGACCAACGAAGCTCGGTCCTCCAGCTGCGGTCTTCGAAGCTCGGTGCCCGAAGCTCGATCCTCGAGGCTCGACCCTCGAAGCTCGATCCTCGACTCGGGGGGGCAAGTTGCGAGCACGATTGCAAGGACGACTTCAAGGACTGTCAACCCGAGTAAGGGGCCCTTGGACCAGAGCGGCCCAGATCCGGCCCTGGAGTCAGCCCGACTAGGCCGGGCTGACCAGGATTTGGGCCGGATTGGGCCGGGTGGAGCGGAGTTAGGCCTGATTGGGCCGGCTTTCGACCGCGGATACCCCAGCACCGATGCCGAATCGAACCTCCCAAGAAGACACGCGACGTCTTGATTTTTGTTCCATGCGAGATCCCCAGAAGTGCTGGACCCTGCCCCAGGGGCCAGTTTGTCATCGCGGAGCCTCTCTTGACGGCCCTGGGGCCCGACGAGGGCTCCCAGAGGGCGAAGGAAAAAATCGATCACGACGCGCGCAAGTCTGGGACCTGGCCTCCCAGGCTTGGCAGAGGACGCCCTGGCCTCCGCACGCGTCCAGCAGCGCCAGCAGCGCGCCCGCAAGGTCCGCCTGGTCGGCGGCGGACGGGGCCCCGTCCTGGAGCAAGGGAGATAGAGCGGTGACCATGGCCAGGACTGAGCGCGGAAACCATGGCGGCGCGCAGAGGGGGGTTTGGGGAGGGGGGGGGGAAGGCCTCTGAGCTGGAAGCCGCTTCTTAGAAGGCGCCGGCCCTGCCCTGCACCTCTGTAGAGGAGGCCCGCGCCCTCTGAGAAGCAAGGGTGCTGCTAAGAAGCCCCCCTCTGCGCGTGGCTGAGAAACGTCGGTGTCGACCCTGATCACTTCGTCGCCCACATCTGAAGCCCAGCGCAACAGGGGCCGCAGCGCTCTCGCGCGGGGGCGCATCCGCCCCGCGCTGCTCCGGGCCCTCGCAGGGAGAAGAGCTTGTCCAGGGGCCCCGAGGGAAGATCTGGCCACCGCCAGCGCCGGCCCCGGGGGGGCATCGGGGCATGGAGGCCCAGGCGCAGCTCTCCAGGGGGACCCCCGAGGATCCACGTTGGTCTTCGTCCATCCTGGCAACACTGTCAACTCGTGGATCGGCGAGCCGGCGACGGCCGGCATGGGCCGCGAACAAGATCGGTGTCGAGAAGGTTCCGCGACATCTTGGCCATGGTCGTTCGGGGACGCACTTCCCCAGGTCAGCGCGAACCTGGGTCAGCCAGGGCCCTGTTACGAAGCCGGGACGTCCTTGGCTCCCAGACCCGGGTCAGCTGAGTGCGGAAAGGGGGAATCGGCCCCACGTGAACGCCAGAGGGGACGGGCCGACCCCCGTTGGCGCTGACCCCGTCACGTGAGCCCCGAGTCGCCAGGCTTCTTCCCTAGGGGGGGAAAAAACTGCACAAACATAAACTTTGGCGCTCCGCGCGGATTTCTTGGACCTGCGCTGGACCCCCTTCCCACCTTCCTCCTCCTCCTCCTCCTCCTCCTCCTCCTCCTCCTCCTCCTCCTCCTCCTCCTCGTCCTCCAGAAAAGTTCTGCTAATGCCGTTTTGCTCTCCGATTCTTCCCTCGACGTCCAGCCCGTCCCACGCCCCCTGGAGCGCGAGCAGCAGGCTGCTCTTGCGCCGCAGGGCGTCGAGGCGCTCCATGGGTGCCCCCCCGCCCCCCCTGGGCGGCCCAGGCCGCCGCGAGCGGGCGGGCGGCGCGCTACCCCCAAGAGATCCTGGCGCCTCAATTCTTTTCGAGCGGGGCGCTCTCGCCCAGTCTCGAGCCCGGGGATACTCACATGTCGATCCACCTTGGAAAACGGCGCAGACAGGTAGGGTCCGGGGCTGCTTCTTGGAAGGCGCGGGCCGTGTCTGTAGATGCAAGGCCCGCGCCTTCTACGAAGCAGCCTCCTTCCAAGAAGCCTTCCCCCCTCCCCGCAGCCCCCCTCTGCGCGCCGCCAACGTGCGTCGAGGAAGCCCTGAGATCATCGCGCCTCATTTTTTTGAGCTGAGCGTTTTCGCCCAGCTTCGGGCCCCAGGAGCTTCACAGATCGACCCGCCTTGGATAATGGCGCAGGGAGGTATCTGTTTCCCGCTGTTGCGGTTTTTCGCGACGTCGGATCTCAGGGAAGCCCAGATCTCCGACGGTGCGCTTTGTTCAATCCTAGTGTTTGTCCTGGATCTCGGGCTCTGGGCCAAGGGTTGTGGATGCCACGACATTGGACATCCTAACGGTCCGATCATTGAACTTAAAATGTGTTTAAACTGTCAGAAACATGTTCTAAACATGTTTTCAACATGTGCTTTGCATGCTTAGGACTGTTTTTACATGTTCTAGACATCTGGGAACTATTTGGCAACATGCTTCCTCTCCATGGATCGTCCTGCACCAGCTTAGTGCGACTGTTTGCAACCGTGGGTCCTACGAAGTGAGGCCCCACCAGCTCGAAACCGGGGCCAACAAAAAGCCAAGATCTACTCCATGGGGGGGGGGAGGGGGGGGGGTGCGAGGGCCCGCGCGAATCGGCAAAACACAGAATGAAAAAACGACCACGATGCTGCAGCTTATTTCGAGACGTCCTATCTGGGACCCGCAGGAGACGACGCTGGCACGCGACCGCGCCTGCGGCCGCGGCAGCTGCGCCTTCCGCGCCCGCCATAGGCCGACGGCGGCGGAGTCGGGCAAGGCGGCCACGGCCGCGACCGCGACGACGACGACGACGACGACGACGACGACGGCGACGACGACGGCGACGACGACGACGACGAGGAGCCAGAGGCACCCGAGCCAGGAGGCTTGCGAGGCCCTCCTGCCCCGCACAGACGTGCTGGCCTCGTGGCAAACATCGCGGCGAGCTCTTTTGGGCCACCCCCGCCCTCCGGGAGCCCCTCGCCGGGCCCCCGGGCGGTCAACAAAACGGCTCGGGGTGAAGAGCCGCCCCCGAGGCCAGGGGGAACCTGGCCATCGCTCGGACGTCCATTCCCTGTGCAGTTTTCGGCTTCGTGCGTGGTTTTTTCGCCAAATGATCAAGGACGCTCCTCGATGGTCCTCCCCGAAAGAAAAATGCACACGTCCGAGCAATGCCAAGGAACTGCTGGGGGGAGGGGCGCACGGGCCCGGAGTCGACGACGCACCGCCGACAGCTTCGGCGCTAGGCCCCCGAGGGCGCACCTTGGCAGGGTGGGGCACCCAGGCCCCGGTCTGCGAAGCATGCGAAGCATGGGCCCCTCCTCCTCCTCCTCCTCCTCCTCCTCCTCCTCCTCCTCCTCCTCCTCCTCCTCCTCCACAGTTACTCAATATGAATACCACTCTCCCTCTTCCCCTGATGACGGTTTGAAAATATTAGCCCCCCCCCGCGTACTGTTTTTTTACACACAGGATTCCCCGGAGTTGGATTTTCGCCTGCGTTCGTTTCCAAAATGCTGATCTCGCTGAGGCGCCGGCCTCATTTTCGGGCCCCGCTCGTTCCGAATCGTGCTCCCGCTGCAGCGCTAGCCTCATTTCCGTGCTTCCGCTCGTTCCGAATCGTGCTCCCGCTGCAGCGCTGGCCTCATTTCCGCGCTTCCGCTCGTTCCGACTCGTGCTCCCGCTGCAGCGCTGGCGTCATTTCCCGTGCCATGCCACGGCATGCAATGCAATGCCAGGTTGATACTACGCTTTGCGGTGCTCTTCTACGCCATGCCATGCCGTGCTCTACAATGCATCGCGTACCCTTTCGGGATCATTGCCCTGCTCGACATCCGACTGTGCGAGTAGAGAGGGGATCTGCGCCATGGTAAGGGATGGGAGGGAGGGGTAGGATGTCAGATATGACGCGAGCGCACCTAGCTTGTCCTCCTCCTCCTCCTCCTCCTCCTCCTCCTCCTCCTCCTCCTCCTCCTCCTCCTCCTCCTCCTCCTCCTGCTCCTCCTCCCGCTCCTCCTCCTCCCGGCCCGGGGAAAGGGTCCAGGCCTCCGGGGACCCTGACCTTGCCTCGAGAAGGACAAGAAGACGCCGGACGCGTGGGGCTCCGCAGCAGGCGCGGGGCTGCCACGAGCCAAAGGCACTCGAGCCAAGATTCCTACGGCCCCGAGGCCCTGGCGTCGCCAGCTGTTCACGCCGGGCGTGGGCCCCCCCCCCCCGAGCCCTCGCAGAGCCATCCAGCGCGAAAGACGCCACGGGAAGCTGGAGTCCAGGGCTCCAGATTTTGGGTCCGCCATGCCTTCCCACAGGGGGATCTGGGAAGAACAAGAAAAAGGTCAAACACAAATTCAAAAAAGACTCCCAGGAGCACAACAAATCGTCACCAGAGTATCTTCATGCCATTCTTGAGTATTCCTCCTGCAGAGGGACATGCCCGACTTACATCTAGGGCTCTAGTTGCGGTCTTGCACGATGTTGCATGTTTGTCGCGTCGTCGGATCACATGGAGGGCCCTTCTCCCCAGAGATCCGGCATCAGGCTTTGGAAATACAACGTGGCTCCCACAAGAGGTCCAGACCACTTCCCAGGGACCGAGCCCCTCCTCTTGAGATCTTCTGTCGACGGCCCCAGGGCATACTGAGGGCCACAGGAACCCCTGAGGATTGCAACAAACCTGCCGTCGCTTCGTCGCAACGCGAGGATGTCAGGGGGCCCCCTCCTCCTCCTCCTCCTCCTCCTCCTCCTCCTCCTCCTCCTCCTCCTCCTCCTCCTCTCCTCCTCCTCCTTCTCCCCTCCTCCTCCTCCTCCTCTCATCCTCTCCCTCCTCCTCTCTCCTCCTCCTCCTCCTCCTCCCTCCTTCCTCCTCCTCCTCCTCTCTCCTCCTCCTCCTCCTCCTCCCCCTCCTCCTCCTCCTCCTCCTCGGCTGCCGCCGCACCATCCCTGCCCGCACAAGCCCATCGCCACATCCCGCGGCGTGGGCTCGGGAGCTGCGCGCCCCCAGAGGTCCAGACCCCTTCCCCGCGGGCAGCGCCCCGCCCCAGATCCACTTTGATGCTGGGATTTTCGACGAAAGATGAAAAATACCCAAAAAATAATCAAACAATAATCTAAAAATAGTCGGGGGACTATGCTTGAGTATTGTTTTGCCATTTGGGAATATGTGCTGTATGTTTTCAATTTGTCGCACAAAATCCCCCTGTAGGGGGACAGGCCCGACTTAATGCTGGTCCCAGGGCCCGACCGCGGGCCCCAGGGGCAGAGACCCCGCCTTCTGTCGTGTCCAAGGCAGGCAATCCCCGCGGCCCTGTCGGAATCACGCGTACGTACAGTCAAAAACCCGAATAAGGACGCGCGATAAGGACGCAAGACCCTTGGAAGCCGAAGTTGGGATTTCTGGGGCGGCGGACGACGAAAACCCCAAGGACGCAAGAGCAAGGAAGAGCAAGGACGCAAAGGTACCCTGAGCAAAGTCGCGCGTCCTTATGAGGGTTTTTGACTGTATCAGGGCGGACTGCGCCGGAAAGGCCATGGTGGCAGAACTGGAGGAGCACAGCAGGTCGTGCGCAACAGCGGCTGGTAGTGAGAGGAACACGCACCTGCTGCACGCCGCCTCCGAGGGCCAAGCGTTACATGATGTGTTCCGGTGAGTGTCGGCTCCGACTGGGTGGCGCTGGGGCCCTTTCCCCAAAGAGGCCGTGGCCCGGTTGCCACTTAAGCCACCAGCCGAGGCCATAGGCCAAGTATCCTGATTGTGACAAAGAGGCGTTGGGGGTTCCCCTCCAACCCCATTCACACAGTCGGAACCAAAAGAATCCAAACTACCCGCGCCTCCGAGGAACAACGCCTGCACTAAAAAAACTCACACCGCCGGAGATCTCGGGAGGTCGTGCGCATCCACCTCGCGGGTCGCTCCCGCCGGCCCCCGCCGGCGGAGCCGCCCTCATGTTGCTTCCGCCGCCTCCCGCCAGCCTTCCGCCGCCTTCCCCAGGAGGAAAGGGCATCAACCTCCAGATCCCTCGAAGGCAAGGGCCTTTCTGGAGCGCCCCTCCTGGCCCCCCAGCCTCCTCGGAGATCTGAGGATGGCTGGCGGCTCCACCTGGGAACTGAGGCGGGGGAAGGCGACGAAGAGGGCGACGAAGAGGACGAGGAGGAGGAGGAGGAGGAGGAGGAGGAGGAGGAGGGCGACGAAGAGGACGAGGAGGAGGAGGAGGCGGGCGATGAAGAGGCAGAGGAGGAGGAGGAGGAGTAGGAGGACGAGGAGGAGGGCGAAGTAGGAGGAGGAGTAAGAGGAGGAGGGTTAGGAGTAGGAGTACGAGGATGATGATGATGAGGAGGAGGAGGAGGAGGAGGAGGAGGAGGAGGAGGAGGGGGAGCTCCCCCGAGGCCCCCGCTCGCGCCCGGCGGCCTCGTCGCACGAGGCGGAGCTGCACGACGACGGCGCCCGCCTCACCTCGCCCTCCTCGCCCTCGCCCGCCTGTCGCAGGGGCGCGGGCCGTCCGCCGCGCACCAGCCCATGAGGGGGGAGAGGCTCGAGGCTCAAGAGCGCACGTCTTCATTCGCGGCCACAGCGGGCGTTATGGGGGGGGGGGGGGGGGGGGAGGGAAACACGGTGGGAAAAAACACACACACACACACACACTGTGGGAAAAAAACACGTGGGAAAAAAAAAACACACACAACACACACAGTCTGTGAGAAAAAAACACACAGGGGAAAAAAACACACGTAGGAAAAACACACACACACACACAGATTTCCCACAGATTTCCCACGGGGGGGGGGGGGGGGGGGAACGGGAGCGGGGCACAAAGCGGGCGCCCCCCCCCCCCCCCCAGACTATGGTGCCAGACGCACTGCGGCAGTGCCGGGGGCGCTCTGAGGGAGGGAGCGTTCCATTGTGGGGGGTGGGACGGGGGGGGGGAGGGCAGGGAGCATCACGCGCGTCATGACCCAGACGGCAAAAAAAACACTCCCCAAGGTTTTCAAGCGTCTTCGGCAGGTTTCGACGGCTGTCGGCGGCTTTCCACCCTCAAGATGCTCTACAGCAGCTGCGCCTCGCCGAGGGCGGTGGGAAAAAGTGCTCTCCGGGAAAAGGGATGACTCTTCGGGTAAAGGAATGGTTCTCCGAATCAACGTGGCCCCGTGGCGAAAGGGATGGTTATCCTGGTGTATCCCTTTCACGTCTTCTGCCTCTGAACAGAACCCCAAACACCCAACCCCAAGTCCCAAACACCAAACACCAAGCATAACATACCAATTACTGGACACCGAAACACCAAACACAGAACACCAACCGGAGAATCCCAAACCCCAAACACTGAACACCGATCACCAAACACCAAACACCAAACACACCTAACCCACACAACAAACCCCAAACACCAAACCTTCGACCTTGAACCCCCAAAAAAACAACCCCAAACCCCACACCCTGGTGTAGTGGTGCATGCTCTTGCTCTTGGTGCCTGTGATTGATGCATGTTCTTGATACCTGTTTGAGATATCCGTGGACGGCGCGACGTCGTGAGCGCCAACACGCAGCATGCAGGGCGGCAGTGGGGGGGAGGGGGAGCAGGGGAAGGAGGAGCTGACAACCTCATCCTCGTCGCGTCCACTCCTCTCGTCATGCCTCCTTGTTTGCGCGTTCCCTCCCTGCCTCCACGCCTCCACCCTTTCGTCCCCCACCCCTGTTTTCACTAGAATAGACGCTCCTGTGTCCAAGCGGCTGCGAGGAAATAGGCCCCGCCTTCTCGCGGGACGAGGGGCCCCGTGACCACTTCGAGCCGTCTCCGGGCCATCATGGAGCCCGAAGGGGGGGGCACGCGGGAGGCCGCCTTGGGCTGTGTGTCGCGCCATCTGGGCGGCCACCTTGGGCTGCCTGGGGCCACCTTCGAACACCCAGGGCCAACACGGACCCCCCGACGCTTCGAAACACCCTGCTCCCCTCCCCCTGCCCGTCCCCCCCTTTCCCTCCGCCCCCAGGGGCCCCATCTCTGGCCACGATGCCCTCCAGACGGCCCAAGAGGCCCCCAGAAGGCCCAAGAGAGCCCCGAGACGAATCACAAAGAAACGGAGACCGCCTGCCCCGCACCTGCTACCCGAGCGCCCCCGAGGACCACGGCGCAGCGCCCCGACGCCTCGACACCTCGACGCCCCGACGCATCGGTGCCTCGACGCCTCGGCGCCTCGACACGTCGACGCCTCGACGCCTTGTTTCGGAGGAGCAGCAGCAGGAGCCGCAGCAGGAGGAGGAGGAGGAGGAGGAGGAGGAGGAGGAGGAAGGAGAACACGACGTAGACATAAACTATCGAAAGCCGGCGCGGATGTCCAGGGTCGGCGCTGGACCCCCTCCTGGCGCTCGGGGCGCGCCAGGGGCTGCGCCGGAGGAGCCGCCAGGGGGGGGGTCCGGCGCAGATCCAGCAAATCCGCGCGGACTTCCGAGGACCACCAGGCTGGCTCTGAGCCGGGTCAGGGACCGCTGACCCCAGAGCGCCTGCTCCGACACACCTGTCGGGGAAGGCCTGGGCAAGGTCTCGGTTGGGCTCTCTTCGTATTTGAAGGTAGGGCGCTAGGTTGTTTGTGTAGCAGGAGAAGGCCCCTGCGCGCCTCGAGGCTCCTCCGCACGATTGACAAAGCATGCTCTTCGTAGCTCCGTGCTCGTCGTGCCACTCCGGCCAGCCAAGAGTGCACCACTCTTGGAGGAGCCAGAGGGACTGATGGACTCATGACGAGGGGTCCTATGACGAGCTGGACGCGCCGATGACCGCGCGGCCGTGGTCCGCGGCACACTGCCCAAATTCGGCCGCCAGTCACGCCTGCGTTACGCCAGACGTCGGCTCCGACGGATGCCAGGGCCCACGAGACGTAGGCTCGGTTCAGGAGCATCCCGTGAGAAGACCATTGGCCGACTTTGACAGGGAGGAGGGAGGAGGCGGAGGAGGCGGAGGAGGAGGAGGAGGAGGAGGAAGAGGAAGGAGGAGGAAAGGAGGGAGGAGGGAGGATGAGGAAAAGGAGAAGAAGAATGAGAAGGAGAAGGAGACGGAGGAGGGAGGGAGGAGGAGGAGGTGGAGCAGGAGCAGTAGGTGGAGGAGCAGGAGGCGGAGGAGGAGGAGGCGGAGGAGGAGGAGGTGGAGCAGGAGGCAGAGGCGGAGGAGGAGGAG